CCAAAGTTGGTTACCTTTCTAGGTCATTAACCCTGAATGGAAAGACTACAATAATAAACAATTATTTTTCAAATTTTTTAACAAAATGATGACTGATTTTGTAATAAATAGTTCAAGATTGCAAAATGAGATATATATATATATATATATATATATATATATATATATATATATATATATATATATATATATATATACTAAAGTCCAAATATTTTCAACAAGAAAGTCTTAAACTTTATTTTTTTTAACAGCAAGTCCAAACTATCGACAGTTATTGACACACTTACTCTTTTTTGCCGGTTTGCCGATAATTAGGACTTTACTGTAAAAAAAATAATAAAGTTTAAGACTTTCTTGTCAAATCGTGAATTAGGACTTTACTGTAAAAAAAGTTTATGACTTTCTTGTCAAATCGTTGAAAATATTTGGACTTTAGTTTATATATCCTTTTTTGTTAAGAATTTAATGGTATGATAGTCTTTAAGCATAAAAGTTATTGGAATCTGCTCTGGTCAGCTAGATCCTACTGAAATCTTTAACGTTTGCTTCTTGTTAAATAGTTTTTTTAATCTCAACAAACAGACATTGAAAAAAAATGGAGATAATCAAGAAAGAAAAAAAAATCAGGGTTGTGTTGGCTTTTTGCAGTCCTAGAAATAGAGAACTAAGAAAACAGAAAAGACGAAACTGTCTTTTTTCCCCCTTCTCCACATTCACACCCTTTTGACTAGGTATGTGTTGTTTGTGTTTATACAACTTGTCCCCTTTTTTAGTTCAAGATTTGACGGCGAACCAATTTTTTTTTTTTTACAAGTCTTCCCACTCTCTCTTCTTTTGCATCTGTTTCCCTTGATTATGATTGTAGCAAGGTAAAAATGATGATTGTAGCAGGGTAAAAATGATGATTGTAAGAAAAACAATGGTGTTGCGATGAAAATCACAATTAAAAGTTTTTTAGGCTACGATTTGGGTCACTGAAGCTGATAAAATTATTTGTTTCTAGGGAAACTAAGACTATACACTAAAATCCCAATATTTTCAAGGATTTGACAAGAAGTCCTAAACTTTATTTTTTTTACAGTAAAGTCTTAATAACCGGCTAACCGGCAAAAAAGGGTAAGCGTGTCAAAAACCGCCGGTAGTTAGAACTTTACTGTAAAAAAAATAAAGTTTAAGACTTTATCGTCAAATCATTGAAAATATTATGACTTTAATGTATATATGCCTTGCAAAATCAAATAATGTGTGATATTATTCATATATTTTAGATTTTTTTGTGAAATATTCGAAAAGTATTTTTTAGTATTGCTTTTGCGAATGAACAAAAAAGTAGCGTGTGTGGAAGCACGATTATATTTTTCCAATGTAAACAATATAGATTCATTAATATTAGTTAAAGATATGGTTTCTCGACGGATGGGTTCTAGTCTTTTTAAAGACTTTTTTCAGTTTTTGTGAAAGTGTCAAAGTGTATATAATTTCCCAAAAATAATAGCCAACCTTCTGAAATTTATTTAGGAAAATCTCCAATAAATTCTTAATATTTTTTGTTAGTATACGGTTTAATCATAACCTTTTTTTTTAATAGAAAAGTCCTGATTTATTTTTCCCAAATTAACCAAATAGTTTTTTTTTTCAACAAAAAAATGATAAATTGTCATATAAGATTAGATAGTCGTCACTTTTCTATTCAAAAAATAAATGTTGAGATTAAGCTGTAAACTGGTCAAAAATATTGTGACTTTATCAGAGATTTTCAATTTATTTATTCAGGAAACTACCATTATTAATTTTCAAATAACATCATTTTAGTAAAAAAAAAAAAATAGGTATTTTTAGGAAAAAAACCAAAAAATTTGCAAATACTAATTTCAGAAATTAGAAAACCATTTTCGTGAAAAAGATAGTTTTTATATTTAAGCATCAAATCTAATATACTCATAATTTCATCTATGTTCCAAAAAGGACTTGAACATCCACTTCAAAATAAATAAATAAATAAACTATTAAATCTTGTTGATTCATGAAATAGATAGTTTATTGATAGCAAATAGTTAAACGACGATCATTTTTTAAAATAAACTTTTTCAATGTCGATCCTTTTTGTGATTAGCTCATAAAATAATCATCCTTAATAAATATCCGATCTCAAGAAAACCCATCTAAACCCAAAACTACTTAATTTCAATTGAACACTTGTTTAAATAGCCAAATTGTTAGCTAACAGATTAACTAAGATAATGGACTCAATTATTAGTCCGAATTATGGTGAGTGAAATTGTTAGTTGGTATAAGAGAAGGAAGAAGAAGTTAATGATTTTCAAGGTTGATTTTGAGAAAGCTTATGATTCTTTAAGGTGGGAGTATCTAGACCGAATAATGTTTTTCTTGGGTTTTCCGGATAAATGGAGAAATTGGATAAAGGCTTGTATGGTTTCTTCAAGGTCTTCGGTAGTTCTAAATGGGGCGCCAAATGATGAGTTTACTTTGGAGAGAGGGCTTAGACAAGGAGACTCTCTTTCCCCTTTTCTATTTATTATTGTTATGGAGTTTCTTCATGTGATGATGGGAGATGTAGTGGATAATGGTTTGTTTTGCCCTTCTAGAGTGGGAGATGAAGGTCTAATCATATCTCATCTCTTTTATGCGGATGCTGCTCTTTTTATGGGAGAATGGGATACTGAGAATGTGATGGGATTGATTCGTTTAATTAAATGTTTTTATATGATGTCGGGGCTATAATTGAATTTAATGAAGTCAAACTTATTGGGGGTGGGAGTTGATGATCACGCTTGCCAAGTCATCTCGACAATAACACGTTATAGGGTATCCACGTTTCCGTTCACTTATCTTGGTATTCCTATTAGTGATAACATGAATCAGATTCTTGGATGGAGAACATCATTGATAAATTTATGAATAGACTGTCCAAGTGGAAGCTTAAGATGCTTTCGGTGGGAGGTAGACTTACTTTGTTAAAGTCGGTCTTGGGATGTTTAGGCATATATTATATGTCTTTATTTAAAATGTTGATTCAGATTTGTAAGATGCTTGAACGGTTGAGAGCCGGATTTTTTTGGGTAGCTGGATCGAACGAAAGTAAGATGAGTTAGGTGAAGTGGGATTTAATTCTTAGTTCCAAGGAAAAAGGAGGGTTGGGTGTTGGCAGTTTAGTGTCCCTTAACAAAGCTTTATTGTATAAGTGGAAGTGGGGATATTGTAATAACATGAATTCCGTTTGGAGCAAGGTGATTCAGGCTTGCCATGGGATTCAATTTGGGATGCAAGGGGCTGACATGGTAAAGGGTGGTGGTGGAGTTTGGAATAATATCCTCATTTTGATCACTAAGATGCATATTAAGGGTGAGGTAGAGGAGTCAGTTATGTGTAGAAATCTTGGACATGGGTTTGATATTCGGTCTTGGTGGGATAAATGGCGAGGCACATCAACTTTCAAGGATAAGCATGATAGACTATGCTTTAGCATTGAACAAAAACGGGGTTGTTAGAGATTTTTGCGATGATTATGATTAGAATTTTCAATTGAGAAGAGTAATTGGAGGGGGAGTGGAAACAGAGCAATTAAAAGGGATGATGGCGGACTTGGTCGTTTGAAAATGATACATTGTGTTGGGAGGTGGAAAATTCTGGTATTTTTACGGTTGGTTCTTGTTGTGATATGTCGTTAGGACTTAACGTCGTCACTGGTTGTCTTGTCTGGGTTAAGCCTGAGAATCACAACAAAGAAAGAATAGACGTCAGTTGTCGTCCGAGATGGTATCCCGGAACGAAGCTCCGACGGTCTAGTCATTATCCAGATGAGAGAATTAGGGTTTGGCTCAAGATAGAGAAAGAGTCGATCCCTTCTCTTGGAGGAGAAGGGTTCTTTTTATACATGTCATCGTGGGGACAGACCCCTGACAATACCTTTTTGTCCTTTCTGAGCCGGCAGGATGTGGAGGCGTTTTATTGGCGGATCATGCTCCTCTAGCGGTTGCTTGCTATTGGTGCAGAACTACCATGTGATAGCGTGCTGAGTGCTACACCAGTCACTCTGGGAGGCGTCTGGTACTATTTTGTCTTGCTGTAGACCGGAGCTTCTCGTCCCAGGCCTGGCCTTGGTGCTAGAGCGTCGAGACATAAGTGCGAGGCCGTGGTGGCGAGGGCCCGGGCCTAGCACTTGTCGAGCAACAACCATTGACTAGGTCGCCCTTAGATAACGGTCTCGTTATCTTTGACGTATTCCTAGTGGGATATGTTAACAGTTCTCTTAGAAGATATTTGGATAATAACATACTCCCTTTGGCTTTTAAATGTAATCGTTTTGTTTCTGTTAAAATTAATGGGCATGTTTGAAGAATTGCTCTGGATAGACTACCCACAAGGTTGAACTTGGAGAGGAATTGATATTTCGTCCACTAGATGTCCATGTCCAGTGTTTGATGATGCTTTGGAATCTGTTTCTTGTTTTTTTAGACGTGAACTTGCGGTTCAAGTGTGGAATGGTATTGCGGTTTGGATGGATTTGATGATTCTGGAGTGGAATTCATTGGAAGACATATATGCTTAGGTAGAGGGGCTGCATTTGAATGTAACTAAGAAGAATGCAGTGATATCTATTGCAATGATTGTGTTGTGGGTCTTACTAGAAACTATGGTTTTCCGAACGAAAAAAAATATCAAAAAGACACTCTTCACAATATGATTATATTACATGCTTATAATTTGTATTGTTTTAGAAACCATAAGACGTCTTGAGATTGGAACGATTTGCTCCAATACCCGATGAACTTGTAATTGTTGTTTTGGTTTGTTTTGCTAGTTTTTTGCTACCTTTGTTCTTTTTTTTTTAATACATGCCGTTCAAAAAAAAAATTGAACACTTGTTCAAAACTTTTTTCACAATCTTTCATCTTACACAATACACACAACAGAGAAATACTCTACTAAAACATTTTCACAACCTTTCATTTTTCTTAACACAATTAACCTACAGTTAACTGGCATATAAGTTGTTAACAAATACTATAGTTTTAGCAACTCTACTTCATGAATGTTGCAATTGCAGCCGCAATTGAAGAGGTATGATTGTGAGGCGATTTATGATGGTGAAGCAATGAATGGGCTTTGGCCCATAAAGACTTCGGATTTTCAGGAAACAAAGAATTGCATAATTCCAAAACCATTGGGTTTTCATATCGTTGCTGCAGGGTTTCATACAATTTCGCCTTCTCACTTGCGTTTCCCAAATCCTATATTCACAACATAACAAGTTAACAACCATTACTTTATTTTTTTCATATTCTTTAAAAAAAAAAAAAAAAAAAAGAATTCAATTACCTTAGGCTTCTGATTTTCAACTGGTGACGTGTCATCCTCATGATGCATCAATTTCTCTTCAGTATTATCATCATCATCCTTAACCGCATCACCTGCTTCCGCCATTTGTACATCTTCAAATTTCTCTGTTTGTTCAGCAATGGCATTTTCGTAATTTTTTTGTGATGTCATCATCATCATCTCTTTCTCTTTCTCTTTTTCTTCTTGTTTACTACTCTGCATAGTGTTTTCCATTTTCACTTCCTCTCCTTTATCTTCCATGTCACCATCTGCATCTTGATTTTGTGAATTGTCTGTACTTGATGACGTGTCATCTCCATTAAAACTTCCCACCATTGAAGCTCCCTAAAAACAATCACCACATGCAAAATTACTTTTTTGCCCTTCACGTTAAATTTGTTTTTTTTGGAATGTAAGGGTAAAATGGTCATTTACCTCAACTTTGACTTGGACCAATCCATCATCTGTTTCCATCTGATCATTTCCAGGGTTCATAATCTGCTCACGCTCCAGCCTACGCCTCATCATGATACATATTGCACAAAGACAATCATCTTTATGACGTTTCACTCTGAAAAAACATAAAAAATTAAAAAAAACAAAATGATATATAGAAAAAAAACAATATAGAAAAGACAAAAATACCCTTGACGTTTTCTTGACTTATGTTTTGAATGACTACTTTTACTGGACTTTCCATGACTGGATATGTTTCCATCTTTCAGGTCATGTTCATTATACAATCCTGCAGCACTCCAATACTTTGAAAAATTCTTTTTTACACGTTTCATAAGCTCTAAAATGTAATCTCCTTTATTATTATATTTGTAGCAATTTTCCCAAATATATTGTACATCCATGTATACGTCTTCTGAATTCATGTATTTAAGACCTTTTTCAAGGTTGCTGCATATGGTGCCAAAATCCATTGGTGTTTTGATCACATCAAAATAATCCTGAACCAAAAAAAAAATATGAGTTTTGGAAATAGTAATTTATAATTATATAAAAATGTTGTTAAGAAGTTAAGATTACAGGTATTCCAAGAGCAACAGGGTTCACTGGAGCATTAAAAGGCTCTGCTGCATCCATTTTCATAATCTTTTTAATCACCTACAAAGTAACACAATATGCAAATCAAGAATCAAGATTGCATTTTTTTTTTCATGGGAAGTGGGAGAAAGAAAGAGAAAAGAAAATAGAATTTAAAAGTACCTCAAGAGAAGCATTTAGTTCTTGCTTATTGTACACAGAATCTCTAGAAAGTAACACGGGTTCTTTCTGATGTGTTTTATCTGTTTGAGAAACTCCAGAAGTATTACAATGACTCAAACTTGAGCTAAAACCCTTTGATGATTTTATTTTTATGCTTCCAGTTTTTTTGGCTTGATTCACATAAGCACCTACATTGTTTTCGGGTGCTGAGTTGGCACTGTCTTCTACTTTGTCACTAATTATTTGTTTCTCAAGACCAATATGTTGGCTACTTTTATCTGTATCACTGTGTGTATGTGCATCCGAGGAAGTGATTTGAGGTTCTAATGCTTTTGAAGATTTGATCTTGACTTTGACCCGATTGTATACTAATCTCCCTACTGGTTTATCAGTTACTCCAGTTGAACTGACAGCTGGCGGTTTTTCTGGTTGATCAGTTCCTGTTGATGATGGGGTTTCAATATCCATTCTTGAGCTTGTCTCGTCTTTCTCAGTATCTTGATTATCATCTGGGCCAGATTCATCTTCACCACTTAGATTATCAATGTTGGAATCATCCTCTGTTATTCCCGCCTTAGGGGTACTTTTGGAATTTCCCTTCTTTCCACGCTTGCGCTTCATGGTTTTATGACTTCTAAAACTAGTGTAGGCAAAGGAAGGTGATAATAACATTAGATAAGCAAGTTAGTTTGTTCAATTTAACAGACTAATTCGTTTACTTGTTGTGAAGTACACTTTTCCCCAAATCAATTTTCATATTCTTGTGCAACGATCTCTACAACTTAACGCATAGTGATAAAATCAAGTATTTTTCTAAACAATATAAACCATAAAACTAGATATTTGGGCCTATGCAACTACGAATCCTAGCAAACATGATAGTGAAAACCTGCGTAGATATGATTCCTAGCAAACATAACAAATTAACATCAAATCCAAGATAATATACGATCAAAAAACCATCAGCTACACGAGCTCATCTTCAAATTTCCATGAAGCAAACGATATCACGAACAGAAGAGGATATTTCGCAGATCATACAACAAATCACAGCACCATACGTGATTTCCACGACGAAACAAACGAATAAAACAAAAACTCAGAAACCCTAACACGTTCGGAAAGAAATTAAGTTAAAATCGGGTAAGCATTTAGGAAAAAGCGTTACCTGAAGACGATGGAGTGTCAGTGATACTGAGTTCTTAATGAAAAACGACGGATTCCGATTTTCAACTAATCTTTCAAATTTTTGAACGAGAATAGACGTAGCCACGACTCGCGTAGATGAACGAAAGGGGCTTTTCGCTTTTGAGCGAAGAAGGATGGATGGCGTATTTGTTTGGCGGGCCCTTATCAAAGAACAGGCCGGGCTTAATACTTGTATATGGGCCAAGTGTTTATAGCCCACTGTTTCGGCCCATGGAGTGATTAACTAAAAACTCAAAGCCTTAAAAGATAAAATGGATAAGATAAAATGGATATGATAACATTTTAAATTTTGAACTTAATATAACTTTAAATGATTTAGTAATAATTAAAAATAATAATTTCATTCATGAAGTTTATCGATTGTTGATATCAAAATAAAATATCAATATTTATGTATTAGAAACTGTTGAGATACGAAACCTCAATTGTGTCAAGTGACTTATCTTGGAAAAGGGTGAAGCTATTATTATTACTGGTAAAGAACCCGCGGCTACGCCGCTTTTGGGGTAATATGGAAAAAATCGGCCAACTTTAAAAAATATGTGTTGAAATTGTAAATCACCATAAATAGGGGAGAAAGTCGACAACCCCTAAAATTAAATGTCAAAAGTGTACAACGAAAAGAAGGGACATTGGTGGAGAAAATCCAAAAATGTTGTGGCAATAATGTTAAAGGTGTCAAAGTTGGGAAAATATGGTGGCAAAATTTTAAAGGAAGTTTTCTGTGTTTTTATATCAAAATGTAAAAGTTTTGACTACAAGGACGAAAAATGTCAAATTCATTAAAGATTTGTGGCAAAAACACCAAAATGTAAAACCTTTGACTGCAAGGACTAAAAGTGTCAAAGTCATTAAAGATTTGTGGCAAAAACCTTAAGGCACAAAAACTTAATTAAAAGGCAAAAATGTAAAAATTTTGACTTTAGGGACTAAAAGTGTCAAATTCAGTAAACTTTTGTGGCAAAAACCTAAAGCCTAAAAAGGTACTATTCCTAAGCTCCTTTGGATTTAATATATATATATATATATATATATATATATATATATATATATATTATTATTATTATATTATTATTATTATTTGTCAAAATGAGTGTTAGAAAAAGTGTTCATCACTTTATAAAAAAGATGTTATGTATTAAGTTCTGAATTTTGATTTCATCTACATATTTGATATTTAAGATATGTCATCAGACCCTTTTAGTATTAAATTTCAAGATAGTTTGAATGTTTTTTTTATTTAAACTAGAAAAGATTCCCCGTCGTTGCCGGGGTCGGAAGGTATTGCTTTGTAAAGTAAAGTATCATGTTGAATTGCATTGAGATAATCTAGTAAAGGAAGATAAACAATGTCATCTAATTACATAAGTAAAGAAATCTAAATCATTATTTCTTGCAATAAATGAGGAAAATAAAGAAATGGTCTCACAAACTGAACTTTGTTGCCATGTATGGCAGCGGCCGTAAAACCAATCCGGAAAATATAGACTGTTGCTTTTTGTCCGTTAATGTGAGGGTAATTTGGTCTTTTCAGGTAGTAGGGAATGAATTTGTGACTATGGGTAAACCATATGGACCATTTATGTAATTTTGGCGGTGGTGGTGGTGGTGGTGATGGCAGATGGTGGGTGGCTTTATGGTATTGGGTGAGTATTTTCTAATAAATAAAACATTAATTTAAAACCAAAAAGAGAAATATAAATTAATAAAAAAAATCGGATTAGGAGTAAAAGAGTGATTTCGGTTTCCATCGTTGTCCTCAATGTGTTAAATCTGGTAAACCACAGGGACCAATCGTGTAATTTTGTCTAACAATAATAATAATAATAATGAGGGACCATTTCTGCCAAAAGACTAAATACTAATAATATGTAATAAAAGACGAGGGTTATGAAAAATTCAAACCAAAGTGAAAGGGTTGTTTGTGAACAAACGCATAAAGATGAAGGGTCAATGTTATAAGTTGGAGGACCAAAATTGACAAAAAAGGTGCCACTTTACTGTTAAAATCTTTTCCTCAATGTGTTAAATCTGGTAAACCACAGGGACCAATCGTGTAATTTTGTCTAACAATAATAATAATAATAATGAGGGACCATTTGTGCCAAAAGACTAAATACTAATAATATGTAATAAAAGACGAGGGTTATGAAAAATTCAAACCAAAGTGAAAGGGTTGTTTGTGAACAAAAGCATAAAGGTGAAGGGTCAATGTTATAAGTTGGAGGACCAAAATTGACAAAAAGGTGTCACTTTACTGTTAAAATCTTTCATAACTTTAATATATATATATAATAATAAATGGTGTAGAGATGCACCATGTATATTAAATATGGTTTTTTTAAGTGCGTTAAGTTCAGTTATTACAAGGAAGGTCATTAGAAAAAGATGAAATCCCACATCTTGGTTAAAATAAATATGACAACCGTATTGTTCAGGGGGCTGTTTTGCCAAAGCTGAAAGTACCATTTTTGTTATAAAAATCAGGTTTTTAGGAGATTCTATCAACATACCAAACTTCAGGGACCAAAGTGTAAATTCTGTTTTCTTGTTTACAACCAAATTTTGATCGGGATTTCTCCCGATTTTCTTCCAAAACCTTAACCCTAAGGCTGGTGGGTGTGGGCAACATGTTATCACATCCTAAAGTTGCCACCTCACCAGCCATGTCAAAATGGTGTTATAACACAAATTAGAGGAAATGAACAACATGTTATAACATGAAATGGGGTGGTGTTTCCATGTTATAACATGTGTTAAGAGGAGAGAGAGATAGAGAGATAAATATATGCAACCAATGAGATGAAAGAAAGACTCCCGTTACAATATGTTATCACGATAACATCTCTTAACATAACACCAAATAACATGAGAAGGGAGCGGTGTTCCTCATGTTATGACACCGTTATTTGATGTCACATAGGCATAACACCTCTCCCCCATTGCCCACTCCGTGCACTCTTTCCTAAACCATTCCTAAACCTATACCCTATGTACACGATCGATTAGAAGGCATTTTTGCCCACCCAAAATCCCACAAGAGAGGAGAAAAGCCGAGAAAAAGAAGAATATATCGAGAAGAGATTTTCAATGAGATTTTAGCCGAAGCCACGACTTTGCACAAATAAGTAACCACCCTAATATGTTCCAGAAAACGCCCTAATACAAAAAAAAAACGAGATTTACTTGTTTTCTGGACTTCCAGGTTGTTTTGAACTTGTAGCATGTATTCCAATCCTTCTTTCCTGTTATTAGAACATGTAGTAACTTTTTGCAAGTCCTTTAAGTCGTATGCATGGCCTTGACTCGAGAAAAAATGTAGTTGTCTGAACTCGTGCCGATATTTACAACTTGGAAGATAGTAACCTTCATTGATCATATAAGCACCATAGTGGAAAATTAGGGTGGAATTGACGAAAACCCTCGGAGGCAAGATTTTTAGGAAATTGTGTCTAGTTTCTAGGGCCTAGGGAATCAAATCAATCATAGTTATGGTGTGTGAGGTATGACCTTATTGTTGGCTTAGAGAATCCTAGAATCTTATTAATATTGTGTCACTAGTACAAAAATGACTTATAACCACGTTTTTTGGAAACATGGTTGTCACGGTTTTTGTTAATTTCATCACTAAAGGTCATTAATCAAATTCCAGTAATGTTTTAGTCACATATTAGCTAAAAAGTATCATCATTGCAAACTATTTTTACACACTTTGTCACTTTTTTAGATAAAAAATGTGACAAATACTAGCCAATAGTCATGGTAGATCATTGTGACTGTAAATATTATATTATGACATTTAAAAAAAACATGTGACTATAAGTGTTTTATGATAACAGTTTAATTTCATATGTATGTCTAAAATTAACGATTTTGAATAAATAAAATAACATGTGACTGTAAGTATTTTATTATGACATTTAAAAATAATAAAACATGTAACTAAAGGTATTTTATATTCACGTTTTAATTTTTATGTGTATCTAAAAGTATAAAATTGTAATAATAAAAGATAAATAAAACACATCACAATAAGTGTTTTATGATGACACTTAAATATTGAAAACTGTAAAAAGGATTTGAAGGGAATTTAATTTTTCATCTTCTAAAAAATTTCAATTTTCCCTCTTTACTAAAATTTCAACATTTTTCCCTCCTTACCAAAAACCAAATATTTTTTTCTTTCCCTCTTCCTCTAAAAAATAGACCTAATCCATCTTTCTCTTTTTTTTATACACGTCACCCAAACATGGATGCGTCGGGCCCCTCTTTCCCTCACAAAGTCGCACCTCCAACTCTCCAATCTCCAATTTCTCTCAAAAGGTCGTACCTCCGGTCACAAGTGAACCTCACGGCGGCGAATCATGTACGATAGCCCATGATTGAACCGGCACCACCACATTATCATCTCCCCAGCCTGTAGTATCTTGTTCATTTGAATCCTGTTTCCCCGAAACATATTGATCGTGATCTTTGTGTTCATGTTATTCTAGAGGTATGAAATACAACCATTCAAGCAGTATATGATGTTGTTCTTCTGTATTCATCTTAACAGTTTATTTTTTGCTCTAAATCGTAACCAGGCTGAGCTAGAAGTCAAGTTCTTTCTCCATTAATGGAGTTTTTTGCATCATTGTTTCTATTTTTGGCATCAATTTCTACAATTTCGGCACAATATGTTCAAGAGTCGGAACTTGTAATGGAACTTTACCAATTTCACATACGGATGCAAATTACATTTGTGCTACTCTTGATTAGTGGCCCAATGACAAGTGTAACTACAATCATTGTCCATGGGGTTCCTCGTCTGTTATAAATCTGGTAAACACACTACAAACTTTTCCATATCCACAACAAAAAAAAGATTGAAAATAATTTTTTTGTTCATGGTATCATATTTTCAGGATTTATCCAATTCGATTATTACAAAAGCGGTCCAAGGTATGTTTTCTTGAGTCCAATTGCAAGAACTTGTTCTTGATTTTTTCTCACTTGTTTTTATTGATATGACTTAAACATAATTTAAACATAATTTAAACAACTAAGAATACGAGTAAGAGGTTCCTTACAAGATCAAGTGGTGTATAATGTGGGGGGTATTTCAGGTCCTTGTCATCCTTTTATAAAATTTAAATGGGAATTATTTGGATTCTCTATAGGCCATCTTCGAATGGATAGATGGGATGAATTGAATCGATTTTTTGTCAAGACAAGGTTATCTTTTTTTTATATATATAAATACTTGTGTTTTGTTGATTTTGTACATTCATATCCTTTATTGGTGTAGGAAATGAGTTGAGTGGTAATTGTATTGGTGTCATGGTCCATGTTGAGCAGTACGGGAATGATTTAATTGAACTCAAGGGTATAATTATGTAACGCCTAGTTTCAGATATGATTTACTCTTTTCAAGTTATTGTATTCCAGTGGCCACGGTGTGGCTGATGGACTGCCACAGCGTGGCATCACTTAAATGAAAGTGCAGATCTTTGGATCCCCACGACGTGGTCATGGAATAGCCACGGTGTGGCGACTATTTTATGGAAGACACTATTTTTCAGGTCTTGAGCCCTATTTAAAGGAAGTGATGGCTAGGGTTTCATCCATTCTCAGCCTCCATCACTTTTTAACCTCAAAAACCTAAACCATGGCCTCCTTTTCAAGATTTGAGCTCACTTTTGCTGCCTTTTATGATCCTTGAAGGAAGAAGAAGGAGGTTTAGTGAAAGAAGCAAGCAAACAATCCACCTCCATCTCTTGTGTATATTTTCTAGACCATTTGTAAGTTCTCAAGCTCTCGTCTTGTTAAGTTCTTCCTTATAGATCTAGGCTCTTTGGCATGTTTTGGTTCATAGTTGAGATTTGTATGGTTCAAGGCATAAAGTTGGCAACTTTATGGCTCATCAAGGTCCCAAATGCATTATATCTTATGGATCTAGAAGTTTGTTATGTTTCAAAGCCATGCATGGGTTTTAGGTCACTTTTCACATCTTTTGACCTAGTTTAAGGGAGGACATGCATGGGTCATGCATGTTTGTAAAGTTTGGAATTTTATGAGCCTTTAGGCTCCGAAGAAGCTCTCTAGAAAGTTTGAACTGAATACATTGAAGATTAAGAGCTTAATGCATTAAGTTGTCCCAATGCGGTAGCCACGGCGTGGCGAATGAGGACATCTCGATTGACTTTCCTGGACTCTGCCACGACGTGGAGGAATGCTTTCATAGATTTCAGTAGAGGAGTTACCTGGTATCATTGGTCAAATCACTGACAGGTTGATTGTCAAGTTTGAGGAGTAGACTGCAGTCGTTCAGAATATAGAAGAGATTGTTGTGGTGACTAGGGGAGGAGATCTTGATGTTGAGATGTGACAAGGGAAGAGAAAGCATGCACATGATTCAGCATTATCAGTGATGGATGAAGAGTTCAATGTTGCTAACCTGGGTACTGGGAGTCGGGGACTTTGATATATGCGGCAAGTGTGGGGGAACTGTCACACCCCAAAACCGGAACGGCGGAAACGTTCGGGGGTGGAGGACGTCATGTTTAGTATCACAAGACATGCATCATAGTAATCAAAGTAATAAACAACCATTTCATTAGAAAGAAAGTGTTTACAAAGTATGTGGTTCACATAACATAGACTACAAAGTAAATAACAAAATAAGACATGAAGCTAATACTGCTCCATCTTCTGAATCCCAGTGCGCGTACCTGTCTACTGGTCTCCTGAGAATACAAGTTATTTTGAAAGAGTAGATCAACATTTAAGCTGGTGAGTTCATAAGATTTTAGTGATGTAAATAAGTTGTAAGAAAGTTGTAGTATGTTGTAAGTAAATTGTAAGTTCTGTTTAGAAAAGTTCGCCTGTTCCTCCAGAAAATCCTATATTTCCTGCTTTGATGAAAGATAAGTAAAAATGACTCTACAATCCTTTCTATGAGTACTAAATGGATACAGGTTATATAAAACCCAGAGTAAACAAACAATCGGTTGTGTGTATCTGCCCTAAGCCTACAACCAAACAAGGAACAGGAAATGAGGCAGAAGGCACACAACCCATTGGTTGTTAGATCATCGTTGTATATAACCCTGACGTATGCACTTGGTACTCACGGAGTTAACTGTAATAGTTCCTTTATATTTGATGAAAACATTCTTTAAGAAAACCCTTATTTCTTTTAGTAAAAATGGTAACCACAATGGTTCCTTCTATAATCACTTAGTTTATACTAGTTATATATAATCTAATATCGAATAGATAGTTAGTTGTGTGAATCTGCCCTAAGCCCACAACCAAACAAGGAACAGGAAGTAAGGTGGAAAGCACACATCCAACTACCTATCGGGTATTAATTATATATAACCCTGATGTATAAACTAAGGTATTATAGAATTAACCACCTAAGGTCCTTTATGTTATACTGGTTTAATAAAATGGATTAAACCCTTACTGATAAGTTTCTAGTTTTGTATACCAAATGTTCTATTTGAAAAGTATATTTTGTACTAGAAAACGGTGCATTGAATTAGTGTCCTATTACCTGACCCATACCTGGTACTCCTTATGATTACTTGGTGTAAACGGAATATATATATATATATATATATATATATATATATATATATATATATATATATATATATATATATATATATATAGCTAAGATCAAATAGATAGTAGGTTGGGTGAATCTGCTCTAAGCCCACAACCAAACAAGGAATAGGAAAGGAAGCGGAAAACACACATCCTACTACCTGTCGGACCCGATTAATATATATCCCTGATGTATAAACTAAGGAATCATAAAGTTAGCATTATAGGCCCCTTTCTACTGAATGTACTAGACTCGACTGTTCTGTTTGTCGCTTAAAAAGATGTAAGTTTTCCCTAGTTTATAACTATCTTAACTCGAAAATAGTTTGCATTAACTTTCAAGTGGAACTGTCACAATATGAAAGTAATGGGAAATTGTAAGTACACAGTTGTCTTTTAAATTGACATCCTGAGGTACTGATTACCTTAAAACATGTTTGTTTTATTAAGGTCATAATGTGATGAGTAGTACCCATACTATACGCTCTCCCTGCAAGAGATTCTGGTTACCAAACGCAACTTCAGCAAACGGATTACTAAGTTGTGAAATAGTCTCACATTTAAGTTATCTGATCATGTATACCCAATTTACTATCACCTTTTGTTTAGAACAATAAGTTAGTGATTATTGGTATAATTAGATCCTGGTTTGTTCTTCTGTTATAGTATCTTAGTATGTTCTATCTGTTATAGTGTATTGTATCTTCCTCCCTGTTTCTCTTTATAGTATGTTCTATATGTTATCGTGTAATGTATCTACCTCCCTGTTTCTCTTTATAGTATGTTCTAGTGTGAACTAAACCCCTAAACTATACCTATTATAGTTTACTAGTATCTTTACTTTGAACTGTTATTGACTTGAAGAAAAGACTCATTTATCTACTAAGTTATGATTGTACTTTAAAAACGGAGTTGTTAAACTGCAAAGTAACACAACTTTTAAAAGAGTTTTTGAAATGTTTTGATCACTTACAAATACATAAGCAATCCTTTAAAAGATGTTTATAACAAAACATTTACACAATTTATCATTGTGTTCAACTTGTATTCCCCCCTTAAAAGCATTTAAAACAGTTTAAAAGATTGATTATAGGGGTATGAACTCACCTTATGTGGGTGATTCAACGAATATGCGCGTAAGGATGAGAAGTTCCACGAATGAAGTCCCGAGACACAAACGAGTCCTAAATGACATATAATGGCATATATTGGCATGAATATAGTGTTTAGAAGCAACTACATGCAAGGAAACACTCTAGGGACTAGGAAACACTTGAACCAAGTGTTAGAATCACATGTGATCCATCAAAGGGGAGTGTACGGCCACTATATGGAGTGTGCGGCCATGGGTGTACGGCCATGGAGTGTACGGCCGTACACTCATGGTAACAAGTGCACAAAAGTTTGCTTGGATGCTAGGGAAGCTTGTGGGACTATTGCTCATCAAGTGTTGAAGCTAGATTTTCATTTTGGAGGCCCTATAGGGGTGTTTTGAGGGGTGTACAGCCTCACATGGGTGTACGGCCGTACATTCCTTATGATCTTGAGTTTTGGTCTTTTTTAGGGTGTTAATCAATTTTTCTTATCATGTACTATGCGTAGGGAAGGAGTACTTATGATTTGAAGGCTCAAGAGGGCTCACAATCACCAAGAACAAGTGTGTGTTCTTGATGTTCTTAGTGAAATGGATGAAGATTTGAAGATCTACCCAAAAGATGATTTGCAATGGATGAAATCAAAGGGTGTTACTAGGTGAAGAAGGATAACAACAAATCAAAACGGAAGAAAGGCTTACATTCTTGAAGATCGGGTGAAAAGCTTGATGATAGTTGAGAGAAAACTCGAGTTCTTGACTTGGAAACTGAA